TAAAACATGCAAAAGTATTTTATTTTGAACATTTCGTACACCTTTTAGGCAGATATGATTTCGGTGTGAAAACAACGTAGAGCATAAACAAACCAAGATTGGAATAGAACTGTTTCAAGTTCATCAACGTTGCCGGAAGTGCCATCTATAGTATGCATTGCCCAACAAATATCTTAAGCTCAGTAGTAAAAAAACAGTTCAAGATTTTCGTCGATCATAAAATTTCATACACAAAATCCAGTGAGACACTGAATAGGAAGGAAAATAAATTCTCTATTATGAAAATCACGGATTGGTCGAACTACATTTACTCCAGTGGTATTTCGATATAACTATATTGGTTTTTCTCGTGGACGCTGTTATGGTTCGATATAAGGTATATGAACAAGCAGTTATTGCAAACATTCACGTACTTGCTGTGCAATGCTTTTATCGACAATTTGATAGGGATAGAGGCTATCAGCTCAGGGTTCTCAGTTGCGTTGGGTTCGATTACTTGACAGCGTAGTACCGGTTCGTCTTGAAGAACATACTCGCATTTGGAGCAAAAACTTAGCTAAATGCACAGAAACAAAAAAATAATCGTCACTGTTCGTATTTAAAATTAAAATCCAATAAACAGAACCAATACTCATCAATTCTGAGCTAACAAATAGAAGCCAGTTAGATTGGGAATGAATATCACTTAAATGACGAGAAGAATCTTTCATATTCTTTTAATCCTGCCAACAAGTACAGAAGTCTATCAAAGTCATTCAGCTCAGTGGGTGATTTACGGATCTCATAATTTTTACTCGGGAAAATTTAGTCATGAGTCCATCTTCTGCTGTTTCCCAATCAAGCTCCACTTTGGAGTATTGGTAGAAATCTTTGAAAAATTGGTTTATCACGATAAACAAACAAATCAGCATCGTACACTTAGCGCGACACATCGGTTACCCATTGCTTATTATCCACTAATGAAATGCACACATCTATTTACTCACGCAATATCATAGTGCGCATACTTTCCGAACATGGATATCGATATCGCATAGTACCATAGATTGCCCGCGTCTGAGTTCAAACTGAGCGCCGCACAGTACAAAATCCTTTCGGGAAAAAGGTCCATTATTTACCAGTGGGCAGAATACTGCCAGGTTGTCTAGCCCAAATCCATCGCAGTTTCGTGGGGAATTTGCAACCGCAGTCTCTGAACGTTAGGTCGATTCACACTCGGGGATACCGGCTCAAAGTGCCTCATTACAGTAACCAACAGCTTTGTCACCTGGAAATCTATCAGGATTAGACTAATCTAACCAGTAATTTTACTCAATTTCTCCTCAGACACATTCAGATGGGAACAGTTGATTCGTTAAACCTATCAGGACCTTTATTATATGGGGAACGTCACAGAAAAATATTTACCATCCCATACTAACAATGAGATAGCGGAATGTATCTTTTCAACACAACTCAAACTAACGAACAGTGAGTATGAACGTGTAGACAAAATAAAGTCACTATTCATCAAATGAAAATTATTTTCTAATGTTAGACGGCAGAATTATATGGGGATTAAAATAGAAACACCCCTACCGATGCAACCTGAGGTGTAGGAACTAAAACCAGAACAATTTAGTGCATTGTTGACTGTAGTTTGAACATAAATTATTCCTATTGTTCCGTATAACCCTGTTTTATATATAATCGAGATGTTTTCAGGGAAATTTGAATTTACTGATCCATTTTGCATTCACACAAAAGGTAGGGATCTATAGAAACATCTGAATTAGTTGATTCTAGTTAAGTCAAAATAGGCAACGCGTGATAAAAGGGTAATCAAATATTTGGTGTCAATATAGTTTAATCGAATATTATTCGGATACAACCTAAAACTGGCACTGCTTATCCGATGTAGCCAATATATATACTCGATACATAATCGCCGAACTGCTGTTAGGGTTTTGCCACAAAACAAAATGGATGGCCATACATTTCTATTATATTATGTATTATACATATTATATATATATATATATTTGGCACAGTCTGAACTCAGGCTTATGATAATAATGTGTGTGTGTGTGAATCGAAGTAGAAAGTTCGCCATGGGCTGCGAAATAACTCATTTCAAACGAANATATTGAACAATCCTTTCTGGACTAGCCGCCAGTTTATTTTAGACTAGCGTTTTCATGTAGCACAACTCGCGGAAGGAAGGGCTGTTATTAGTACCCGCATTCTCACGTTTAAAAAATAGAACGGAAATGCAGGTTTATTTTCCTTTGTCTTTATGCAGTATAGTGTAATGCAAGTTTAAACTATAGTTATATATATTTAGTTATATATGAAGTGGCCACTTTACAAGCACTGATGATGTCACCTCGGCTGGTGATGAAACGTTTGCAAACAAATTGCCAAGGTCGGCGAACAGGCGAAATGGAACTAATTTAATTTCCAGAATGGCATTTGCAATGAGCTTCATTTAAGGGACTTACAACAATTACAGCCGCTTTTTCGTTTGGACTTAAGTTCAATCGTGAAGGAGTCACTGTGAAAACTGTACTTGGATCTGTAGCCGATGTCTTCGATGTCTTTTGAAATAGGAAGCTACGCAGAAGTGAACGGAAAACGGGGATAAAAATCAGATGACCATCATCATTATTGCAAATAACCAAAAGCTTTGGACAAGACAAAAACCACTCGTTTCAGTAAATGACACAAAATAAGGGAACATTTCCAACCAAATACTTAAGCTTCACAGATCAAAATAAATGCCTGGAATTCAACAGTAAAATACAGGCAATACTGGATGTCTTGCATAACCATTGAAAAGGAATAAGTAAGTTACACAAACGGATATATTCAATCTGAAATTGTGACTCACTTCACTGTGATCTCATACGGTCCCTTGTTTTTCAAAGACAAGTTGTGTTTCACCTCTTCTCCAACTCGAGCAAGACCAAAGTCGATTCCTCCATCGCTTCCTAATGATAAATTAGGGTAAATTGGATAGATTCGGAGGTGTTTCAATGAGCACTTCTAGAAGCGTCGGCACAGTTTCAGTTTTTACAACCATCAAACATGCACTTTCGTACACCGATTTTGGTTACTGTCTTTTGGCCGCCCATTTGAATAAAAGATTAGAATGAACAAACGTCAACACATTTAAAATAAATGCTATACGCCTGTACAGGTTTTCGTATCATACAAAACCATTTACAATTCTTTTCTTTCCGGATTTCAAGTCAGAGATATTCAGGATTGACGAGATCAGCCGAAGCTGGTCACGCTCAAGTGCAACGTAAAAGTAAACATCATGAAGTTAAATAAGCTTTACTATGGGGAATGTACATATTCATATATATATATAT